CATTATCACTTTTAATTTTTCGTACATTCTTTTTCAAACTAATTTCAATCTTTTTGATAAAATCAATCATCGTCTGAGCAACTTCAGATTTCAACCTGAAAAAAATACCCATGTGAATCTAGAGAAATCATCTACAACAACTAAAATATACCGCTTTTTATTTATTGTTGCAACAGTTGATGGTCCACATAGATCAATGTGAAGAAGTTCCAATGGATCTACTATCTTTGAATCTATGACAATCGGATGACCTTTTCGATGTTGTTTTCCTTGTTCGCAAGCTGCACATAAAGAATCATTGTCAAATTTTAATATTGGTAAACCTCGAACTAAATCTTCAGTTACAAGTTTATTTATATTTCGAAAGTTCAAATGTGATAATCTTCGATGCCAAAGCCAGCTGATATCATTGGATGCTTTTGATAGTAAACACACAGCTGGTTTTCCCACAATTGGTTTGATGTCCAAAGTAAACATATCACCATATCGTTTGGATTTCAGAAGTATTTCATTTGTCTTTGCATTTGAGATGATACTTCCTTCTTCATTAAACACTACTTGATTTCCAGTACCCACAACAAGTTGTGATACACTAATCAAATTGTGTTGAAGTCCTTCAACATAAGCAACTCTGTTTACTGTGAAGTTTCCATTTGTGACTTTCCCATATCCTTTCACTTGACACTTATGATTATTTCCAAATTTGACAACTCCAGCATTCTCCAAGCTTCGGTAATCTCGCAAGTTTTCCTTTCTTCCAGTCATATGACGAGAGCAACCACTATCAATATACCATTTTGGATCATATTGCTCGTCACATAACACCTGCATTTAATGAAAGAATTTAGGAACCCAAGACTTATTGGGTCCATCATTAGTAGAATGAAACAACTTTTTGGAACTTAAAAACCATGTTTTCACTTTGTTTGTAACTGAATCCATTATATCAGCATCATCAGTTCTAGATATTGAAATATAGTCATTCAATAGTTTTGGATTCGCATTGATTGTAATCTTATCCTTCACAACATTCGCATGTTTGATAACTGGTTTCCATTTTTGAACCGGAACTTGCGAATTATAGGATGATGTACTAGCAGTTGAAGAATTATTTGCGAACTTATCAAAGGCACTTTTGATTTCTTGTTCTGAAAACTTTGCACTTTGATATTTCTTTCCTTTCCCTTCAAACCAATTATTGATCATATTTACATCAGTCTTTCCTTTGATGTATGAAACTTTGGTTTTTGATGATATTGAAGGATTTGGAAAATTTGGTTGTTGTGGTGAAAATTTCGCTTTGACTTGATTTGATTTCTTCAAATTTGATGAATTATTCGTGAATTTGTCAACATTTGGAAACTTTTGATTATTTGCAAATTTTTGCGAATTCTCAAATTTTCTATTGTTGTCATATTTGCGAATATATGAAACTTTATCAACAAAATTTATTTGTTTATGAAAACTCGAAGTTGTGTTAGTGTTTTTATCTTGAAATTTTGACGATGTTTTTGAAATTTGTTGTTTTTCATTATTCACAACTTGCCAAAATATTGCTTTTCTTGCTTGTCTTTTTGAAACATTATTTTCTGTTGAATAAGTTTCAACCATCAATTTGAATTCTTGAGAATTTAATTTCACTTCAACCTTTGATTTTTCAACTTTTTCAAAAGATTTGTTTGATTTTTCACCTTTAACCACCCATTTTTGTAATGATTTTTGTTTTTGAAACACATAAGAATTTTGAGTTAAATTGTTTTCTACTGTGTTTTGATTTGCGAAGAAACCTTCAGGTGTTGACTTTTGATTGTCTTTTTCAACCATTTTATTGAACTCAGGATGAATTTTCTCAGCATTTCCAGTAGTGACAAAAACTTGATTTGGAAAAATAGTTTTATCAGTACATACAAAATTTGGATATACCACTGTGTTGGTTTCCAAATAATGTGCGCCTTTGTCATTTAAAACTTTGTCAAATTCTTTTGTGTTTTCAAACACTTGATCAACCACAACCCTTTGATGTGTTTCAGTTGAATTTTGCTTTTCTTCTTTATTTTCATTAGTATCATCAGATTTCCAGCTTTCAACTTCCACATTATCAAACTTACAATGTTGCGAAGTTGAAGATTTATCAACTTTATCCTCTACTATTGAATCAACTACTATTTTTTTTTACCTTTGATCTTAGATGTGATATTAACGATTGACAATTGAGAACAATCAATCTCTTCTTCTTCTTCAATTTCACTGATTTCACTCATATTATCACAATTTTCATCAATATCAGCATAATTGAATTGCGAAGTAAGAGTTGAATTTTCGGTTTTCTTTAAGATTTTCACTTGTTCACTTTTTGTCAAACTTTCATTTACAATGTCAACCAACTCATCAGCATTCAGAAATTCATCAATTTTGACAATACCATATGAATATCTATCATCCGGTATTTTGTCAAATTGAGCAATTGTACTTTCGCAATCATAAGAAACAACATCAACTTTTTCACGCTCATACTCAAGAAAAGGTAAAAGTTTCCTATGTTGTTCTTTGCTAATATCAGAAGAATGATGTAAAGCAGTTAATTTTGCATACAACCTTTTTGCTGAATTACAATAGATGTTTCTTTGTGCTAGTAACAATCTAACATCATTCGAAAGATTATTCCTATCACAATCTATGTTTTTGATTTGCAATTCTAATTTTTCTACCCTGCTCTTCTTTATTTCTAATTCCCTTTGTGTCTCACTAAGTTGCACATTCAATTTCTTAGCTTCATTACTAGCAGACACAATAACAGAATCAAAATAAGCCACAGTATCATCAAACGAAACAATTTCAGCATCATAAGCAGATAAAGGAATATTAAAAGATTCAAGAATTGCACGTACCTTGGTTGTCATGGGAGATTTGTCTGTGGATTTAGACATAAAACATTTCCCAGAAATGTTCTCTTCGCAGTCCTCAAAACTTGCGAACATAGCTCCATGTGTTGGATGTCTCATTTCTTCATCATCAGAGCCTGAAGACCAGATCTGATACGTTCCACTTTCTTCTTCATCCGATTCTCCCTTAGCAACCAAAGACACTCCTTTGTTCTTTGCCCTTAACTCTTCAATTTTTTCAGAATAATAAGCTTCATCTTTGACTTTTTCTTTCTTTTCTTCTTTCTTTCGCAACATGCAATCAGCTGCGAAATGATTCGCACCATTGCAGTAGTGGCAATAAATTCCTGAATCACCCTTTAACTTTTTCTCTTCATTCGCATTCTTCTGTTTTCCATCTGTTTTCTCCATTTTCTTCTTCTCTTCTCCTCCAGTTGTTGTTACTTCACTTTTCACATCACTATTCTTTCCTTTTTGGATTAAAAGGCTTTTTGAAAAACTTTTAACTTTGTTGTTTGAATAGTATGCTATTGCTTCATCATTAGAGTTCATCAAAAATCCTTCTACATCAGAACCATCTTTTTCATCAGTGTCTGTTACTTTTGAAACAAGAGCCAAAGGACCACCAATAGCTTGTTTTGATTCTTCATACATTTCTATGACCTCACATTCATGTGTTTTCAGTTGATTGTAAAGATCATTCAATGTGGTTGTATCAAAACACTGTTGATTCTTTATCATCATGCTTACACCACGCCATTCTTTGCGAAGACTCATAATGAAAGTGAGATTGAACTCCATGGTTGATCTAGTAATTCCATACCTGTTGCAGCGAAACATAAGCTCATTCAGACGATCATAACAACTTTCTAAAGTTTCTGAATCCTTTTGTCTGAATTCCTTCAGTTCAACGAGACACTGCTTCACAGAGTTGATCTTCGTTTTTTCACTTCCTTGATATTTTTCTTTTAGAGTATTCCAGATCTCTTTTGCTGTTTTACAACTACGAATGTAATTGTAAACCACAGGAGGTAGAGCACCTCTTAGTTCTCTCATGCATCTCTTTTCATTTTTCTTCAATCGATTGCGTTGTTCTTCAACATCAGTAGACACAGTAGATGATCCAATTGGTTGAACATTAGCAGGAGCTAGTACTGTTCCATCGATACACTTCCAAAGTTCTTCATCAATTCCATTTAAGTAATCTTCCATTCTATCAGCCCACTGATCATAGTATTCTGGAATTAACATTGGAATTTTGGTAGATGAACCAAGCAAGTGAGAGAAAGAAGTCATTGAATTCATGTTGAAGTTCGCCATTGATGAACACAGAAAATATCTGAAAACTTGAAACCTTGATGAATTTCAGAATTTATCAAACGAATTGATCACAAAACACTAATCGATTACTCGATTTAACAATTCAATTGCAGAATCAATTCAAATCTGAAGATCAAAAGTGATTTTCAAAATCAAAAATGCGCGGAAAATTTTGAGTAAATTCGTAACTCAAAAAGCAAATGATTCTTATACGAAAATCAGATCTAAGCAGTTTGAATCCTGCTCTGATACCAATTGATGAGAATTGTTATCGAGAATTTAGAACATAAAAGATAGATTTGAATGAATTAAGATGAAGAACACCGAGAGTAAATATTAATCAGATCTTATATTGATAAAGTCTGATTACAGAGTTAAGCAGAAGTGAGTTCAAGCATCGTACTACAACTTCTAGCCTAAGTCCCTATTTATAGGGAACCATCAAAAAGTATACTAAGTCTATACATTTTATCTTCGCATAAAAATGACTTAGTAAAATAACATAAAATGCGAAACTATACAAAACACTCTATTCGACTTTTACAATATACATCAACACCGTCTTCTTAAATATATCATGTCTCTCCCAAGAAACATTTTAAATTTCCATAATATCAAACTTGTAAGAAGTCATGTTGTTTGTAAGATGAGTCTCCAACCGTGTAACTACATTGGTGATAAGAGTCTTTGTCTTTATTTCTTGAGACTTTAAAAGAAACTCAACATCTTCTTTGCTCACATAAGAAGTGGTAAAAATAAAAGAGTCATTCAGTTGTTCAACTTAGAGGTAAGAATCTTTTATTGCTTCCTAAACATGATTGCATGATCTTCAACATCTTCTTCTTCAGGACCAGAATCCAATTCAGCAAACTCAATCCTTTCATCTTCCTCAATATTCATGATATCCTGATCAATAGATTGAGAAGAGAATAACGCAACAATGTGTTGTGTCAAGATACCTTTAAAAGTAGGAGAATTAAGAGGAATTGTTGTATGAAGAATTATCAAAGTTGGTTGTTGTGATGAAGGTAGTGGTAGAACAATTGAAGAATCTGGAATAGAAGTCGAAGGATTCCTACCCATGTTAACATTTGACTCCTTATTAGATAAGATCGCATGGATGTTCGAAGACCTAACTTCCTCTACATTGGACTTAGTAATAGGACCTTTGGGTAGAATAACAATTGTTGACTCAGGAAATAAAGTCAAAATTGTTTCACAATTTACGATGTTTGTATCCATATTAGACGTGTGTACAGTGACATCTGGGTTGCTTGTCTCCTCGATATTTGGTTTGACAGAGGCATCCTTTCATGTTGAAACATGTTGTGTTTGATCTTTAGTATCAGTTGCCTCATCATCTATCTCTACTTTGACCTCATCTTCATTAATAATCTTCTTTTTAGGTTGTGTTGTGATAAGTTGTTCTTCGATAGTTTGAGCTCTTATCTTCGAAAACCTTTTCAGTAAGCTCAAAGCGTTTTGCTTCTTTTTTTGTTGCTCCACATCAGCAGGATCCTCCTTAATTACAACACCCTTAGTCTTCGACTTAGACTTCTTCGTTCCTTTGACAACTTTCTCAAAAACTTCTTTAATAACAGGTGCTTTAGGCTTGGATTGTTCTTTCTTCTTAACAACAACAACATTTGGATCCCGAGTTATGTCTGATTTAACTCGAAATGTCACCTCCTTAGGAGTAGAAACATAAGGAACAAGATGCAAAGATGCTTTGTATTGAATTAACAATTGATCTGACTTAGAAACTAGTCGAAGCATTGCATTTGGAATTCGACCAACTGATGGAAATGCAATAGGATCATCTACTGCAGTCTTAGGAATTTAAAGATGTGAAAATTAAGCAACTTAAACTCCCTTAAGAATCAAAATTCCTGCTTGACTGTAAGCTTTATGCATAATTAAACTCCAAAAGCGAGCACTAGCAATCTCAGTTGACTTCTTCGAATGCTTTATATAGGTTGTGAATTCGTCCCATAACAGCGAGGCATAATAAACTTTTAAACCATAGTATAAACCAGCCATTATAGAATAAAATTGAAGTTTAGCTTTATTAATACCCGAACTTCTTCCCATCAAACATCGAAGAGTAACCTCAAAGAAGAAATTCCAGATGATGAGAAGAGCAGACTTCTTAAAGATGATAACAATAGAAATTGGAGGAATATACCCCATTCATTCATCATTTAAAGTACATGATCACACGAAGGAACTTCAAATGTACCCTCAGATGGCAATTAAAGGATATGTACAAACTGATTCTTTAGTAAATGTTTTGTTCCTTTTGATTCCATCTGAAACGTAACAACTTCAATATTCTTGTTGTATACAGTTGTTGAACATGCAAGTAATAACCAGTGCATTGGAATTGCAAAAGAAGACGATAAAGCATGAGCAAGAGCTGAATCATTCAAGCATTGAATGGGCATCTTCAATTCTTCAGGATACATCGACAAAGTTGGGATTAGACCAAACATTGTTCGATTGAATGTTCATTTGAGGAACATAAAATTCCTCGTTGGTAGTGTTGAAGTGATCGACAGTAGTTTGAGCAACTGACAAGCTATAAGGTTTGTGGTTCTATTCATGAATTTGATTAATAGGATTTATAGTTTTTGTTTCATAAGTATGTTGCTATTAATTGAGAAAAGGCATAGATCCATTAGGTTGCATGTACCCTTAAATGTTAAGTGAAATTCCGCATGTACATATTTTTTGTAACCTAAAAAGACCAACACTAAAGAACTTCCAATTTTAAATATTGTGTTATGCGATAACAACGGGTATTTGTTACCATTAATAAGATAAACCAATATATGCTATTTACTATCTTTGATGACGTTGCCAGAAAAAGCCACCCAAAACCCGTCCTTTGATGACCCCCTCACCTATCGTTCCAAGAACTTTGACTTCACCTATTTACAAAAGAAATGATAAATGGTTGATTTCTTTAGTGGTATTGCAAGCATAAACAACTCTCCTTTAAAGTCAAGCATTTCCTCAATGATTTCTTCTTCAGTGGAAGGGGTTTGTTTAACTGAAGCTTTTTGCTCTTAATTATTTGAAACGCCTGGTGAAGAGAGGTAGTGTGTAAAATTTCATCCCTCGAACCTTATTTATTTCATATATGGGTCTGGTATGTAGATCCCTTTGTAAAGTTACCAAAAAAAAACACATACCTTGTGGTCAAACCCGTGGTCCAAACACTTCTGGTGGTAAAACGTAAGTAGTCATGGGGATGGTTCAGAGAAGAAGATACATATTTGATGAGGATGGGTTTGTGAAAGAAATTGTAGGGCAGTAGGAAGGGCTATTCCTTCTTTTTCTGGTGATGGAAAAAAAAGTTAGGGTTATATGTATCCGTTTCAAAGGGGTTGGCTGGGGTGTTTGTAGGACCCATTTCTTCTTCTTCTTCTTCTTCTTCTTTTTTTTTTTTTTTTTTTTTTTTTTCTAAATAATAAATGAAAAACATCAAAAATAAACTAGAAATGATAATATAGTCATTTTAGATTTGAGAGGGACTACAACTGCAACAAAACCAAAATATATAAACCGTTTGGAATTCAAAAAAAAAAAAAATAAAAAGAACTAGGGATCGAACTCTCAATTTTTACAAACCACAGGTACCATTTTAGTAACTTTTTGTTTAAAAAGAAACATGAGTAAGTTTTTTCAAACGTCCAGTCTCTCCTCTCACACTCCCATTTCCCCAAATCTGAAAATTAGAATCCTGAATCGCTGCGTCGCCATCCCCGAATTTTCATAGCGTCTTTTTCCTCTGCTCGCTTCGCCATTCTCCATGGATGCAGTATCGTCTCCATGCCCTTCTACCCCTCAATGGAACTACGACAGACCTTTCCTCACCGGCCAATTTCACCAGGTTTCTCTTCTTTCTGTATATATTTACATATGTGTATGAATGCTCGGAGACATATTTATCTCGATAATGTAATACCAAACCGCCTACCCTTTTGTGAATGTAGCTTATCTTGTTCAAAATTTGGTTTTGTTGGAAACTGGTGTATAAATTTATGCTTGTTCGATGCAGGACTCAAAGGGGCATTCAGTGGATATAGGGTACTTTACCTTTTCCCTGGACTGATATTGAGTTTATTCATGTTTCTATGCGTGTAATTGCTGTTATTAAAGCGAATTGTTTCTCCTTATACACTTTCTTTGTACAGTTTGGAATCTGAGAAGCCGATAGGTTGCTACAATGCTTCTGTTCAGGTACAGCTACAGATGTTTTTATGCTTTTTAGTGCAATTCTTGGCCTTTTCATTCATAATGTCAAACCAGTGTCAATTTTGAAACCTAGAAACAAGTTACTATAGAATATCATGTTAAAGTAAAGATAATTGAAGATTTTGTGATGATTTTTCAACACATGCAGGAACTGATTGTAATTGATGATCTTCTATCTGCTTTAGTTGGGATTGAGGGACGATATATTTCTATCAATAGAGTTGGAGGGAATGATGACTTCTTTATCTTCAATGTTGATGGATCTATGGATTTGGCACTTCAGGTAAGAATCTTCACATATACAATTATACATACACTGATACACAGATTCACATATGTATGCATCTATAACTTCTTGGAACTCTTTTCACTTTTGGGAAATAAACATTGCAAGAAAATGCAGGAATCATCGAAAAGAATATTCCCTTTATGCAAGAGCTATTTGATTATCAATCAGTTTGTGGAATCAAGATCACAGTTCAAGTCTGGATTAGTTAATCATGCCTTTGCTGCTGCACTACGAGCCCTCCTTTTGGTAAGTTATTTATGTTCAATGTTGCCTATTAGATGATGGTTTTTACTGCATATAGTTATAAATAATGTTATTCAATAGGAATTATTGACTATGTAAGACCAATATATCAATATAACACATTTTAGTCATTTAGTGTCAAGGTTCCATGAATTTGCTATTTTGCTATATAATAATAAATAATTATTTTTTTCAGGATTATCAAGCCATGGTGGCACAGCTTGAACATCAGTTTCGACTAGGAAGACTCTCAATACAAGGATTATGGTTCTATTGTCAGGTAATTTCATTTCTTATAAACTTCATTGTTTGTTTATATATTTACAAATTAAGATGAGAATCTTCTTTTTTGGTTATGATTCATATTTGTTGCCTTTTAATATATTTGCAGCCAATGATGGGATCAATGCAAGCATTGTCAACAGTAATAAGAAAGGCATCAGCAAGTAATTTTGTGGGATCAGCAGTTCTTAACCTTTTACAAAGTCAGGTAATTATGTCAATAAACTAAACTAAAATATATTATATGCTATTTATTTATATATTTTAAATTTAAACAGGCCAAGGTAATGGCTGGTAACTATTTGGTGAGATCATTGCTTGAGAAGATGATAGAGTCTGCAAATTCTGCTTATCTTGGCATACTTGAAAGGTATATATAAAGTCACAACACCCAATAATATACTCCAAAAAGTACTATTTTACCCCTTTACCAATATAGAAAGTATGTTGCTATTTTCTGCAATTTTCCCATAACATACTCAATATTATTGTCCATATATTGCCAATATATGCAGGTGGGTGTATGAAGGAGTTATTGATGATCCTCATGATGAGTTCTTCATTGCTGAAAACAAATCTCTCCAAAAAGTACTATTTATTTTTACCCCTCCTACAGATTTTCCCAAAAAGTACAAACATGCTAAAAAGTACGATTTTACCCCTGCTGTTATAGGAGAGTCTGACCGAAGATTATGATGCTATGTATTGGAGACAAAGATACAGTTTGAAAGATGATATTCCTTCTTTCCTTGCAAATTCAGCTGAAACCATTTTAACAACAGGGAAATCTTTGAATGTCATGAGGGAATGCGGCCACACTGTTCAGGTCTTGTTTCTTTTTTCTGTATCTTTCAATTAATCACATTTTCGTCCCTTTGGTTTGTTGTTTCTTACAAATATGGTCCAACAGTTTAATTTTTAATCTTTTGGTCCTTAAAACGTTGTTTTGTCAATGCTTTAGGGATCCAGAATTCAAAAAATCAAACTAATGGACCATATTTTTGAAATTTAACAAACCACAGGGATGAGAAATGTAATTTACTCATATTAGTGCTATTATTAGAGGGTTTTATATGTGTTTTGTAGGTGCCTGCATTGGAGAATTCAAAATTGATGAACTTTGGGTCGAATGATCACTATCTTGAATGCATAAAATCTGCTTATGATTTTGCAAGTGGCGAATTACTAAATCTCATGAAGGACAAGGTGGGGTTTATTGTTATTATTATTATTATTTTTTTAAAATCTTATTTCTAATGGCTGTGCTTTTTAGTTCTTTTAACAATATTTAGTGACCTGTTATTCTTTTGAATGTTGACAGTATGACCTCATTGGAAAGCTGCGTTCTATTAAGCATTATCTTCTTCTGGATCAGGTTAAATTTTGATTGATGGTTTTTGTAGTGTAAATTTTTTGAATTGTAATTTGTAATTAAATTTGATATTTGATTTGTTTGAGTTACAGGGTGATTTCTTGGTTCATTTTATGGATATTGCACGTGATGAACTTGATAAAACACCAAATGAGATCTCTGTTGAGAAGCTTCAGGTCTTTCTCCATTTACCTCATATTATCTGACTAAAAAAAAGTATATTTCGGGCAATTATTGTGATTACGCCACTGATACTTTTTTCTTTCCAATAAAACATTAAAAGTTAAGACATTTTCCCAAACTAACCATTCTAAATCTCCAAATCAACCATTTTTGACCTATTATATCAGGTCAAAATGGTTAAATTGGAAATATGTCTGAAACTTTAATGTTTTTTTTTTATTGGAAAAAAATAAAGTAGAAATGGTTAGTTAAACTGCAAAATTGCCCAAAATATAATGCTGTTTCTGTAATTTGCCCTTATTTGTATGATCCATATGTATAGTTAGGGATAAAAGTTATCCATATATAAGAATTATCGTTTCTCACTCTCTTTTTACCCATTAACTTATATCTGAGAAAATAAATGACATTTGTAAACAGATGATTTATGGAAAAATAAAGAGTTTGATGCTATAAATATAATACACAAATAAATGAAAATGAAAGTACAATGCTATTTGTTTTTGCAAATTAACTTTATAATTTATTTGAGTTTAATTTTCAGTCTCTGTTGGACCTTGCACTGCGTTCGACAGCAGCAGCAGCAGATCCTTTGCATGAAGATGTCACATGTTCTGTGGTCAGTTTTCATTTATTCCTATCACAATATTCCACTTTCAGAAATAATTAATTAATTAATTTTTTATGCCTTTTTCAGGACACAGGTTCTTTGTTAAAAAGGCTGAGCATCCTGAAAGATCTTCAAACAGGTGGAGGTGGTGGTGGTGGTGAGTCAGTTTCAGATGCTGATGTTTTAGAAGAAGAGCCCTTGATCACTGGTATGGAAACCTTCTCTGTTAATTACAAGGTAATTATCATTATCAACACTCCTTTAACATTTTCTTTCTTTCTTTCATTTTATGCAAGAAATAGCAACCTACTTTCATTCATTCGTTTATTATTTATTTATAACATCTTAATATCATCTAGTCCTATTACAACATTCTACTTTGAAAAAATCCATTTAGTTAGTTATATCAATGTCATTCAAATACAAATCATTTTCAATATTACAATGTTATAATTGGAATTAGGCTTAATCTCATAAAAGACCTTATATTTTGTGTTTTTTCCGGATTAAACCTCAACTTTATTTTTCATGAAAAAGACCTCTGGCCCTTTTAATCATTTTTCTTTAAAAAAAGTTGTATAATGTGAGCTTTTTATCAAGAAAACCTAAAAAAGTTGAGGATTTATTTGGAAACATTTAGAAGGTTGAGGGTTTTTTTCGGGAAAAAAAAGACAGTTGAGGGTTTTTTTGGAAAAAAAAAAAGAAAATTTTTAAGGTCTTTTTCATGAAAAAAATAAAGATGAGGTTTAATTTGGAAAAAACACAAAATATAAGGTCTTTTATGAGATTAACCCATAAATGAAACTACTTTACTAATTACCTAATTTTCTATTTTTCTAATTATCAATTAAATGAAAGTAAGTTGTTATTTTTGCTACAGGTTCAATGGCCATTATCCCTTGTGATATCAAGAAAAGCTCTGACAAAATATCAATTAATTTTTCGATTTCTGTTTCATTGCAAACACGTTCACAGACAGCTTTGTGCAGCTTGGCAACTACATCAAGTATGAGACTGAATATCCCTGATATAAATATTTATTAAAAATAAAAATATCTCCCTCTTTATATTATTTGTAATTATACTTTTGTTGTTGCTGTAGGGTGCACGTGCACGTGATATGCATGGAACTGCAATCTCTACATCATCAATACTATGCAGGAATATGCTTAAATTTATAAATAGCCTTCTACATTATCTAACCTTTGAGGTAAAAGTAAAACCATGTTCTTATGTTTATAAAATAACATTGCACTTACATTTCCTTACCAATAATAAAAATATATAACCTGTAATTTGTATGTAAGCTGCTTACAAAATTTATGTTATTGCTATTAGTTGTGATCAGTATAAAAGTAATTATATTATGTAAAAAGTAAAGTACATTCTACAAGTTTCATGCTATGAGTATGTTGTTATTATCATATTATGGGTGAAGAAATATAAATATATTGCTATTTCCTATTTATTCATTAATCTGATGTTAATGTGGTTATTTATCTCTCTTTAGTTCTTTTGTCAACCAACAAAGGTGGAAGTGATATTATATTATTGTGATTGAATTAACATATTGTTTTATCTTGTTTTAGGTTCTTGAACCAAATTGGCATGTTATGCATAATAAACTTGAGAATGCAAAGAGCATAGATGAGGTATATGTTGATTTTTTTTTTATTTTTTATTTTATTTTATTTTTTTTTGTATTAAAATGTTGTGCTTTGAAAAATCTACCCAGTTAGTAATGTCATACAAATACAAAGCAATATTTACTTCTTTAGTTGGGTTGATTTTTTAAAGTAAAATGTTCTAATAAGAAGAAGAAAATTGTACTACAATGCTGTAAAAGAAAAATATAAAAGTAGATTGCTATATTTCACAAATAAATGAAAGTAAGTTGTTAATTTTTTCCCTGTGTGGTTGTACTCTTTGTATGAAAATAGGTAATCCAATATCATGACTTTTTCATGGAGAAGTGTCTCAAGGAATGTTCACTTCTTTCTCCAATCCTCCTCAAGGTTTGCATCATTCCTTAATTCATAATGTGCTCTTAATTTTGCACATCTAAATTTCAAAATACAATATGAAAATTAGAGTAATAGAATAGCATGCAAATTTAATATGATTTTCATTAAGCATTATTTCTGTATAAAGTGCTGTCTGGATAACTAATGTTTAAAAAATATTTGAGAAAATGATGACACACTTGGGGAAATAGAAGGAAAAGTTAAATGAGGTCAAATTCATAAAAAGTTAGGTTAAAAAGAAACATTGATATGTAAGTTACCACATTAAGGGGCTGTTTCTTTTTGACTTAATGAGGTGAGTACTCTCTCATGTTAGAAATTGATGAATATTCTGATTTTTTTCAGAATGTAAGGGTAAAATGGTCATTTGGTCAGACAGACGTCATTATCTGTGCAATCACTTTACCCATACATGACTTAATCAGGCCCAAAGTCATGTCTCCATTAGTTAAAAAAGAAAGTCATATAATATACAAAGGTTTGTGTTCAAATAATAATAATAAGTTTTTGGGGGTGAATGCAGAAATTTGAGAAACTGAAACTTGTATGCCTTCAATATGCTTCTGCAACTCAGTGGCTAATGAGCTCCATTGAAGCTCCCGATTCAAACAGTTCCTTTGATGATTTGGATTCATCTTCCGTGGAAAATGTAAAGGTTTTGAAGCTAAGAAAGTCTTCCAAAAAACCAAATTCACCCACAGATGAGGCTACAGTTATCGAATGTGTCCTGTAAGATCTTAAAACTATACTCCCATATTTCTTTCTATGTATGTATGTATGTATGTATATAATATGTGTGATGGAGTGGAGTGATTTTTGGCAGGAAATTTGAGAGGGAGTTCAGTAGTGAGCTGGAGAGTTTAAGGCCGATATTGAGCAGCAGGGCACAAGCAGAACCATATTTGACTCATCTTGCACAGTTGATTCTTGGTGTTGGTATGGATCACCACATCTAGATTTTTGTATTTTTTCTTCAAGTTTACAGTTTGCTTGTTGGTTGTTGGTTGTAGTGGTTTTTTTGTATATATATGTTTTGGAATCTGAGTGTTTTTGCTTGCATGATGAACAACTTGTGTAGATTTCATAGTAGTAAAACATGGATCATCTGGATTTGATTTTAGCCAAACACAATTTGTTTCTTGTTATTAAAATGAGGGAAAACTGCAATAAAGTCCTTATGTATTGCCCGTATAATCGATTTAGTCCCTATATATATATATATATATATATATATATATATATATATATATATATATATATATATATATATATATATATATATATATATATATATATATATATATTGCAATTTAGTCCTAAATACCTATAAACGTAATCAAAACGGGAAATTTAATGGGTTAGCCGGTATCCCACCGGTACTATGCGCATGTGGCACCTTACATGTACAAGTGACTTTTACCCTTCCATTTCTACTGCATTCGACGTCAGGTAGATCGATTGAGAGAAAAAGTTAGGGTTTTTACAGAGTGATACACGAAGGAAGTAGGGTTTTACTGAGAGAAACGAAGGTAAAACCCAATGGCTGTCGAATCAAATCAGAGGTTCACCATGAGTCATCTGAAGAATACGACTCTGAAGAATACGAAGATGATGAAGAGGTGCTCGATACTGAGCACATAGATGTGGAAATGGAAGAAGTTGATTTCAAGACACAGGGTAAAGAGAGATGCAAGGATGCTTTCCTTAACTTCAGTTCTGATTATGAAGATAATGAAGCCGATGAAGACAATGACTTAGTTGATGAAGATGAAGAAGGGTTTGGTTCAGAAGAGGAAATCGATGACACTGCAGGGGCTAATGATCTTGATTTGGGAGATGCGGTTGGTGCAAGCTTCCCTATTCACGACCCATCAGTTAAGTGGAATAAGATGAAGCCCCTTCCTAGTGAAAGGTATGAATCACCACATCAGTTGCAACAATGTCTCACTAATTATGCTATTAAGTCAGGGTATAACATTAAATTTGCGAAGTGTGACACTGTGAGCTTAACTGCCAAATGTGGTTCTAAGATGAAGTCTCAACCCTGCCCATTCAGATTTCATGCTTCCTGGATGACTCAACAAAGGTCTTTTCAGATTAAAACCTTAGTCGATGAGCACAAATGTGTTAGAAATTTCAATATTTCAAATTTACTGAGTCCCAGATGGCTAGCAAGACACTTTTTGAAGGAGTTGATAATGAAACCTAACTTGAAGTGTAAGGAGATGCAATCAATAATTAGGACCAAATTTCATTCTGGTGTGTCTTGGCTTAGGCTTACAGAACAAGGTGTAGAGCAATGACCATTATAGATGGTAAACTCACAGAACATTATGCTAGGGTGTGGGACTATTGTCATGAGTTACTAAGGTCAAATCCTGGTAGCACTGTCCAAGTTGGTGTCACTGTAAATCTAGATCAAACAACATACTTTCACAGGATGTATTTGTGTTTTAAAGCAATCAAGGAAGGTTGGAAAATAGGGTGTCGTAGGGTAATTGGTCTAGATGGATCTTTCTTGAAAGGGACATGTAAAGGAGAATTACTCACAGCAATAGGGAGGGATGCAAACAACCAAGTTTATCCAATTGCTTGGGCAGTTGTTGACATTGAAAACAAAGCTAATTGGAAATGGTTTCTGGAACTGCTCACAGAGGATCTTAATCTGCTATATGGAGGAGGGTTTACTGTACTTTCTGATCAACATAAGGTTTGTAATTTCTTAGCATATTTATGATTTTTCCTTAACATCATCTTATATGTTTATGTATTCATTAAATTGTAGGGATTGCTTGAAGCAACCAAGGAAATCCTACCAAATGTGGAGCATAGACAGTGTGCAAGACACATATATGCTAACTTTAGGAAGACCTATTTTGGAGTGGAGTTCAAGAATATGTTCTGGGCAGCTTCCTTATCAACTGTAGAGAGTGAATTTCTGAGGAAAATGGATGATATAAAAGAGGTTAATCCAAATGCTTATGAACATTTGATTGCAAGACATCCTCACACATGGTGCAGGGCATTTTTTAGGACTGATGTAACATGTGAGGCAGTTGAAAATGACATAGCAGAGTGCTTCAACGCCATCATATTGGATGTTAGAAAGAAACCCCTTCTAGCAATGTTTGAAAAAAATTAGGTTGTACATGATGGATAGGTTCTACCATATGTTACAAAAGGCAGAAAAGTGGGAATTAGTGGTTTGTCCAGCTGCTATCAAGAAAATGAACAAGTTTGGAGAGGATTTGAGGTTTGTCTTAGCATTTTTATTGTTCCTTGTTATCATTATTCTAATTTCATTGTTATGATTTCATTTAGTAATGCTATTGTAGGAATTGGAATGTGAATCCAAGTGGACCATCTATTTTTGAAGCCAGGAATGGATTAGAAGGGTACGTGGTTAACTTACAAAGCAGAGTGTGCAGTTGTAGGCTTTGGGATATCTCAGGAATTCCATGTGTACATGCACAGTGTGCAATACTATTCATTGGACAAGATCTTGTTCATTTCATAAGTGAGTGGTTTAATGTGGACAGGTTCAAGGCCATATATGTAAACAATATACTGCCTGTGAATGGTAGAAATTTATGGCCTAGAACATCATACATAAAGCCTCTACCCCCTTTAGCTAGAAGAATGCCAAGGAGACCAACTCTGAAAAGAAAGAGGCATGTCACTGAATCTCAAGATAAATACTCCCAAAACAAGATGAAGGTTACTGGAATAAGAAGGAAAGTCCAACGCAAAAATTGTCTTCAAAGGGGTCATAACAAAGCATCCAGTAAGAATCTCAAGGTCACACCAGAACCCCAACCCAAGAAAAAAATGGGTAGACCAAGATTGGATCCTGATATCAGTCATTGGACTAGAGGTGGTGTCAGAGGTAGTAGAGGTGGTGCAATGGGTAGTAGAGGTGGTAGAGGGGGTAATAGAGGTGGTGTAGTGGGTAATATAGGTGGTGTAGTGGCCAACAGAGGTGGTAGGGGTAGTAAGAGAGGTGGTAGGGGTAGTAAAAGAGGTGGTAGGGGCAGTAAGACATCTGTTAGAGTTGAAGGTGGTGGAGGTGCTGAAGTTGAAGGTGATACAGTTGAAAATGAGGATGACACTATTCCTGAAAAATATTTAGTCCATTTATGGAAGTCAATGCAAGATTTGAAACAATCAGGGTATTCAATTGAAGAAATTAAAAATTCACTTAATCTGACAGATTCACGTATGAAACAACTCAATGATTACAATGACACTATTGAACAAGTTCGTCCTATGTCTATGGTAAACCCTCTATATTACCTTAATGTTTACATTCATTTATGTTATTAATTGCTTGGTGTTTTATAGGAAGAGGAGTATCCACCTCAGACTGAGACACAAGATGGGGCTGAAGAAATTATCCCCGAGACACAACCAGAAAGTGAAGAAGAAGAAGACGTTAATGACACCCAGGAATTACCAGTACACCTTAGGATTGTGAAAAGAAGAAGGCCCTCTCAGAGGATTGTTAAAAACAAAAACAAGCTGAAGAAGATGGGATGTGTTGGGACTTCTGCAAGTTCATCATTGGAGTTGGATTAGGGTGTTAGGGTGTTAAGGGTATTTTGGTACATCTTTTGTGAATGCTATTTTTGTGAATCTTTTGTGAATGCTACTTTTGTACATCTTTTGTGAATGCCCTTAAATTACTAATAGCGATATTTTGTACATCTTTTGTAAACACATTGAAACATTGTGAATGCCCTTAACATGGTTGGTAATGGCATATTGGAGTTTGTTGTTTAATTATTTTAGCCACAAGTGTGCATACTTCATTGGTTTGTTGTCAATGGTGATCATTCTAGCCCCAAATTCAACACCAATTGTTAAATCATGGTTATATTTCACAAGTGTACACCATTTATGCAAACCATAATAACATATTGCCATTTCATTAACCAAAATATTACATGATCCACAAGAACATTTATCTCTTACAGTAAACCCTCCTCCATCTATTAAATCATGATAACAAACCAAAAGACTACATCATCCCTACCATACCATAATACCTTACAACTTACACTAAACTAAGCATACATCATTCCTACAATAAAACAAACGAAACAAACCATCATCCACTTGCAGAATCCGAATTCATTACCAGGCACATGTGTATTCTCACGCATTGTAATTTGATTATCAGGCTCAAGAGCATTCAAATGGGAAATAGGGACATCAACATTCATAGGGGCAATAGGGTCATCAACAGGTATTTCACCTTCATTAATAGGGTTATTGAAAGAAATAGCTACACCCCCATTAGCAACAACTCATAATTCATACATTCTTTCTTTATACCACTTATTCAATAGTGGTGGGTCAATCCAACGAAAATACCCACAGTCCTTCTCTTCATCCTACATAACATAGCAAGATGCATGTTTTTAACACAGAAAAATGGGAATTTTAGAGGATTAGAAGAATTTGAGTGAGATTTGAAGATTCTATACCATGTAATTTGGGCAACCAAAAAACCTCCAACCTGGATTCTTTCGAGTCCATGATGTCCACATATCAGCCCTATCTCCACAATAGCACATTCTGATGTTGGTGCTTGACGAACTCAACATCGATTTCATGTTTCCAATTTGCCCTAATCGTTCGCTCATTTGACTGGAGAATGAAGAAGACAAGCTCGATTCAATGATTTAGCCCTCTATAATGGCACGTAGGATGTTATTTAACATGATGACTTCCACGTAAGCTGCCACATCAGTTAGATACCGGCTAACCCATTAAATATCCGGTTTTGATTACGTTTACAGGTATTTAGGACTAAATTGCAAAAAAAAAAAAAATATAAGACTAAATTGAAAGTATATTTCATGCCTCTTGAAAACCAAATTGTAAAAACCGATCCAATCGAATTATAATTTGGTTGGTTAGACTTGAGATTGGATTTGAATTTAATTTGTATTATTCGGATTCGGGTTTTGAAATCAGTTGGATTCACTTCTGTTATCCTCAGCCACCTCCAACTTTTAGCACTTGATAGGATCAGCCCCTCATGTACTTTATTCTGTAGCCCTCAAGTTCTTTAGATTAACTGCCAGTCCTTGGACTTTAGCGCTATGACCAATTCAACTACTAAAACTAAAACCTGCATTAATTAATTTGCAGAAACCTTTCCAAGTTAATAAGACAAATAAAATAGACATATAATCGTTGTTAATATTGCATCACATGGTATCAGCAAATTATATGGTACAAATCAGTTGCATCGAACGAGAGCCATCATGCAATGTATTAGATATATGATATGATGAATCATGAAAGAATATTAAGCACAACTAAAAGTTATGAAATTGGTGGATCAATGGAGAAGAGTTTAGGGATATTTAGTATCAAATTTATAAAATGTTTGGACTTTTACCCATATGTAAAAGGGAGGAGAAAGTTTATTATTAAGCAAGAGCCAAGAGGAGGAATGAGTTTATTATTAAGCAAGAGCCAAGAGGAGGAATGATCTGACTGATACAACATATCTAATCTATATATACACCAACCAACACACTCAAATAACTCATTATTTAATTAACACATTTTATTATCTAATCTGACATCATTTGCTTCCGGCGGCGCTCCCCGTCTAACTATTTCTTTATTTAGCCCCTTACAGTTATAGACAATTAAACGTTGGATAGATGACATGTTGGTTAACCACGTAGGCATTTCTTTTATTCCGAAACTATATATGTGTAACTCAGTGAGTGAGGTGAGGTGTTGTATTTCTTCAGGTATCGACTCCCACTGATCCACACCGTACAACGTTAACTCGTGAAGGTGGTTCCTTAACTTGTCAATGCCTTGGAGACTCGGGAAAGAATCGAGCTCTTTTGAGAACGGACCAAGTTCCAACTTATTTAAGAAGGCAAAACAGTCAAACGTTTTCTGAGGCAAGGGTGTCAGGTTGGTGCAAAATCTAATAAACAAAGTCTTCAAAGAATGACACTCATTGGGCAAATTGGCTATTACCAAAAGACTTGGACAACCGCTGATTACTAAAGATTCAAGAGATGTGAGGCCTTGTATGCTCATAATATACACCAGACCTGTGCAATTCCGGATGGTTAAGGACACAAGAGGATGGGGATGGCATTCATCTAAGATAGCAATCTTTGGGCAATAAGCAATCTCCAACTTCTGGAGGACAGGCGATATCATTTTTGAGCTGTTGGGTGATCCATCTATCCACTTTTCCAGGCTGTACATATCATATAGTCGGAGGGATCTCAACGATGGACACAAAGGCTTCATTGATCCAGTAACATCGCAACTCCTTAAGCATGTCAAGCTGTCCATATCCTCCAACACAAGATCCCGAAGATGTGGTAGCTGCTCAAGCGTCGGAAGAGAGAGGCAGCTCCTACACCCAGATAATCTGATTGACACGAGCTTGTCAAGGGGCGTTTCTTTCCTATCAATATTGACTGCCATCTTCGTTACCCATTCTGGAAAATTATCACCATAAAATCTTGTAATTGCCAATTCTTTTACATCTTTAGGGGGTTGCAAGCCTTCCAGTACTTCCTTGTCGTTTCTGTTGGCACCTTCATCATCGTCCTCACTCCATTCAAATTCAATCATGTATAAATTTTTCTTGCTAGATAAATCTGCCTTGACAGCATCCTCTTTGCTCCTAACATTTTCAAGACCGCCAATACAGAGCTTTCCACCAAGGTTATTCAAATGGCGTAGCTCTTCAATACCATGTCCTTTCCTTCTAAGCACTTTGACTGAAGACAGTTCTCGAAGACAAATCAATTGTCCCACGATATTGGCGGGAATGTTTCTGTTACCCATGAAATACCGCAGGCTTCTCAAATTTCTCATGGCTTTTGGAAACTTCTTGAGACGATTGCACCCTTGCAACTTCAGAGTTTGCAAGTGGTATAATTTACCAATTGATTCAGGAAGAACACGGATCTTCGTATATCTCAAATCCAGATACCTGAGATGCACCAACCCTCCAATTGAATCGTCTAACTTCTCAATAAAATCTCCCTTGAGTTTTAGAATGCGTATGCACTTTAATCGTTGAAATGAAAACTTCTTCTCGAGTTCAAGTTTGATAAACAATGTATGCAAAGTTCTAGCCACTGTATTCCTTTCGATGCACATAGAAACCTCCGCTGCCGATTCAAAGTTCTGTTCATGGTAAACAGCGAGATGTTTAACCTGAGGGATACGTGCAATGTCATCGTTTGTTGCATCCACCAGACATACGCTTTCATGTTTTGAGAGTGTTAATGAAAGATCATGCACCAGATCATGCATGCTACAATGACTGATGTTACCATACTCATCCCTTTCAACATCTTGGAACAATGAGTTGCTAACCAAAATTCGAAAAATATCATTTCCCACATCCTCCACTGCCTTGTCTTTTTCCTCATCTGCTTGAACAAACCCTAAAGCCATCCAAAGTCGGACCAGTTCATCCCTTTCCATAACCTTATCTTTCTTAAAGATGGAACAATATGTGAAGCATTGCTTGGCCATAGAATTTGGAAGATTATCAAAGCTCAGTTCCAAACTCTTTTGAACTCTCTCCCTTTCATCTTCTAGATCCCAAACTTTGCTATTTTTGATGGCCAACCACTTCTCAGGGTCACTGTAATTTTGCAACATTCCTCCTATTACGTTTAATAGCAAAGGCAAACCACTACACTTTTTGGCAATATCACGCCCTATCTCCTCCAATTCAGGTTGTGGTGATTGTCCTGCTAGAAAGACCCTCTCTTTAAAGATGTTCCAACAATCATCATTAGAAAGACCTTTTAAAGGACATGAATTCATCACCATAGCCTTCGTTCCTATGTCAAGTTTCCTGGTAGTGACAAGAACGCCACTTCCAATTTGTGACTTCACATTTATCATAACACTCCTAAAATCTTCCCAATATAATCTCTCTTCGTCCCAAACATCATCCAGGACTAGCAAGTATCTTTTTGCTCCCAACTTCTTTTCAAGATCTCCAACTAAATTGGCCATTGTTTCCGACTTAGGTTTCTCTCCTACAACAGATTCATAGATCTTTGCCAGAAGTGTGTTGATGTCAACCTTAACCGACACACACAACCACGCTTTCACATCAAAATATTGCTGGATTTTTGGATTATTGTATACGGACTTAGCCAGAGTGGTCTTCCCCATCCCGCCCATTCCCACAATAGGAACAATCGTAAGTTTTTCTTCTTTTCTTGACTCGGTTAAAAGGTGTATGATGCGTTCTTCATCATCCTCCCTCCCAACAATTTTGAATTCGCCTAAATTTGGATCTGTCTCCAGGTAGGGGCGATATTGAACAACAGGGCCAGGCTGTTCATTTTGTAGTCCCAACTCGTTTGCTTGTTTATTGATTTGAGACAACTTTTCGTTAATGTTTTTGATTTTATGACCCATTTCACTACGAAAGAAAAGCTTTTTCAAGCTTGGGAGAGAGGGTACCTTTATTGCCACCCGATCTCGCTTCTTTACCTCACGCCTCAACATTTCGTAGTGAACCTCATCGACTACATCATCAGCTTCAGCAACCACCTCTTTTAGCTGTTTCAGCCACTCCATCACACTATGTTTTTGACCTTTCTGATTCTCGGCATCCTGTAACTTGGCACGAATCATTTTCAAGGTCCCTTCAAGTGTGTACAACTTCTCTTTGTAACCCCAAGCAAGGGCGACTTCGTTGACAGCTATGGATGCTAACTTTTTCAGGATCGCCTCGGCAGCAACATTAACTAAAGCGTCGGCCATTTTCAAATTTTCAATGGTGTGTATGTGTGTTTGAGATAGGAGAGAGAGTCGATGAGAGAGCGTGAAATATAAAGTCACAGAATTCAAAACTCAAAACCAAATAAAACGACATGGAAAACAGAAAAGATGCTTTAACATATTCAATATTAATTTTATCTTAAAGAATTCAATATAATATTTGCAATTGGGGATTTTTTATGTACCGTGATTCCTCAATGTAAACTTTTTTTTATTGTTATATATATATATATATATATATATATATATATATATATATATATATATATATATATATATATATATATATATATATATATATATATATATATATATATATTTGTTATTATTATACAATATTAAATAAATTAAAATCTTGTTATTTTTTTTTTTTGTTTTTTTCCTTTTAAATTGTTTGGATGTTACATTTTTTATCAAATTAAAAAAAAAAAATTTTTTAACGATATTAAATAAACAATCTTAATGTTACTTTATGTTAATTTAGGAGTTTCATCATATGAACCATATTAACTACAAATTAAATTTATTTTGTAATTAATAGATAATTAGAGATGATTACAAATATTAAAACAAAATTAAATTCAAAATTTTACCCTTAAAAAAATGAACAATTTCTAAAGATTGCACTACAACATTATTATTAAACATGCAATGTTATTATTAAAAAAATTAAACATTAAACATTAAAAAAATTCAAATTTTACATTCAGTTGAGCATGATACAACGTAAGCATACAATGTTATTATTAAACAAATTAAAATTTTACATTTTACTAGTTATCTGATACGTTAACTATTTCAAGACAACGATTATTGCATTGTCTATATGGTGGAACGTAACCATTCAATCAAACATGATACAATGTTTGTCATCCAGTAGAGCGTGCTGATTTGTGCATATTCCATTTCCAAGAAACATTAGCCATTAATGACCATCTTGTAAATCAACCTTAACATAATGAAAACCGTTAAGGAGGGTGATATTTATAATTGGATGATTTGGGAAATCTTGTGGACCACTTCAAAGTGGGAAAGACGTTGAAGATTTGAGCTTGCTTAAGAAATGAACAATAACACCATACTTATTAGCAATTAGATTACCACTGTTAGGCATATTCATCCAATATTTTCGAATCACGAGTGTGCCATAGAAATTCAACGCTTCACTAATGGTATTTATGTTATTTGTAAAAACCACTCTTTAATCATCAATGTGCATCAATAACTCTCCGGATAAGTCTGTCCGAATTTGATGCCAATAGTCTTCACTATAACTAAGAGCAACAGCTACTACCCGGAATCCACAATGTTCATCTCCTTCCACATTTTGTATGTTTGACACATATGGTTGAAATTCACTTGAAATATCATCCATAAGTGCATGGTCGAAGTATGATCTTTCATACGTTGGTTCCTGGTTGAACATTGAAGATTTTCCAAACAAATACGTATTGTGCCTCTCTGGTTCCAGTTCCTGGTTGAACATTGAAGATTCTCCAAATGAATATTGCGTGGAGGGACATCATTATCAGCCATGTCTTCCACCATACGACCCTCCATAATGGAGGGACATCGTTTTGCAAATGCATGACCCTCCATATACATTGCACAATCATGATTATGTTCACCATTTTTAACCATCAAGGTCCAATAATCATAAGCCTTATAATAATTTCCGACCAATTCAAAGGGACCATTTGTTGTCCCGTATTTATGTCAGATGTATTTGTAACTCTATAGACATCACTTTAATCACAAACTAAAGTGATTTTTGAAACATAGCCTCCACTTGTTTCCGCCTTTGATTTCTTTGTAATGACCACATATCCAAGAGTTCGTGCCACATTGTCAGCCCACTCCTTCAAATTTTCACGAGTTCTAAACACCTAATAAATACATACATACTTGGCTAGTTTGAAAATTGTCGCAACATATTAATATACAAAACTATAAAAAAACAAACTCGATCAGTTTTAAAATTCGCCGTATGATTCAATTGTTGTAGATGTATTGATTTAGACAGAGATATGAGATATGTAATTTTTGAATGATTTCAGTCGATCCATCGATCGTATTATGTAACATCCCGATGTCAAGGTAATTTTAATTTCAACTCTATGTTTGAATAATATTGCATCTTAGCCCTTGGGATTGAAAAGGATTGCAAAATGGCCCAAAGTGGTAATATGGTAATTTTTCCCAAGTGTAGTACATTAAGAGTATGTTGCGTACGCTAGGCGTACTAGGGCGCGTCCTAGTAAGTTGGGCGTACACCTTGTACACGGGGCGTACGTAAGGAATGTGCAAACCCTAATTTTTAGGGTTTGGTCCATATTTAAACCCCATTATGTAACAACCCAATTTTCATAAATATTTTAAACTTTTATTTTCATCACATCAACCATAGTCAATATAAAAATCCCAATACATATCCATGTTATTTTGAAAATTCAGAGTACAAAGAGCTAAATGTGAAAACACCGGAGAATGCATGCCTCGTCATCAAGTCGGGCCCTTGCCCTTATCAATAAAAGTACCTGAAACATACAAATAAACTGTAAGCACAAGCTTAGTGAGTTTCTTGATCACACAAATCATATAGTCACATAATGTCATGCTCATACATATACATACAAATTGTCATGGACTCCCTCCATGGTCTTCACTAGAATGTCTTGGGCTACCCCCATGGTCTTATATCCTTTTGCCATGAGCTCCCCCATGGTCTTCACATTAACCCATACATAGATCAATTAATATACCACTTCCCATTCAATACAAACATATCATATCACATAATGGATCGACCTTGGTGTCTTCGACCCATGGGTGTGGTGAGACGACTCACCTCAAATACTGACAGTAGCTGACTAGTTCCTGGCTCCGAGTATCTACACAACCCTAAAACATAAACAATCTCCTTAATTGCACTCAACATGCCCCTAAAACCCATAAAGGTCAACCTTGGTCAAAAACCAAGGTCAAAGTCAACATCCTGAATTGACCCAACTCGCCGAGTTGTCTCTTTAACTCGTCGAGTTTCCCTAATGTTTGATCAGATCGCAAAAAATCCCATCAACTCATCGAGTTCACCAATAAACTCGTCAAGTTGGCCAGGTGTTGGGTCGTGTTTTGTATTTTGTGTTGCGTCTATTGGGCTCGTTAGCTAGTCCAATATGTATCTTCGGTATGGGCCTGTCCATCCGTGAGTTTTGTAGGGTTTAGTATATATAGGTGCTTGCATGCATCCTAGAATGTGACGATAGATTAGTACGATCAGAGATTTATTCTTCAGCAAGTTTATCGTTCTTGTTTTTGTAACCCTAATATCCTCTATAGCGGAAGTTCTTAGTCGAGCTCTGCTGAGGATTGAGTGATCTAATCATTCGACACATCTTGATCCATACTTGTGTTATTTACTGTTTTTACATTCATCGCATTACCTGTTACAAAGATCTAATCGATCATCAAGTTTGTTTTATAACTTATCAATTGGTATCAGAGCAGGAGGCTGTGTAATTCATACACATCTTTTCTGTGAAAGAGTTTGCGATTAGGGTTATTCCGCATTAACTAATATTTATTGAGCCGTCATTTCATAATTGACGTAACTCAACATTTATTTGTTTTGCCCTAATATTATTCATTACAAGTCTGATCTTTCAACAGGTTAAACGATCAAGCATGGACGAGTCACAATCAAATCCCATCAACATCTCAAATAACATTGGATCAACGACGAAGATTCCCATTCTTTACACCCAGGATTATGAAGTCTGGGCACATTACTTCGAAGATTATGTCATTGGATCTGAAGACAATGATTATCTTATTTGGGAAGCAATCGTATCTGGACCATTTGCTCATTCAGCAACGTCAAAAATCATTAAAACTCAGAAAGAGTATAATGATCTGTTAAAGGACATAAAAGATATTGCTCAAGACGAAAAGGATAAATTTCAATGCAATATTAAAGCATTGAGACTCATTCGATTCGCTCTTCAATCCGATACATTCAAGCTAGTGAGTTCATGCAGTATCGCTAAAGAAATATGGGATAGGCTGCGAGAGCTATATTCCACAGACGAAGACCTGGAGCATTCCATTCAGACCTTACTTTTTTCTGAGTTTGGCGAATTCAAGCAGAATTCCGATGAAACTGTCACACAGACGTTCGATCGCTTCAATCATCTTCTTAGTAAGATGATCAAACACGATATAGAAAGGAAGCTGATTGAACAAAAAGTTACCTTTTTGAATGGTCTTAGATCTGAGTGGAGAGCGGTTGTATCCACTGTTAAAGCTCATGAGCAATTCAAATCTTATTCATTGGCAAAGCTGGTGGGGATTTTGAAATCCCAAGAAAAGATTGTCTTGCAGGAGAAAAATGTGGTTTCAAGCTTGCGTTCCTTGGCCCTTCTGTCTAAAAGCAAAAGTGTGGTAGAAGATGAAGACCTTCACTTAGAAGACTATGACCTTACCTCTAATGATTATGCAATGACGGTGTCAAATCCAAAGAGGTTCATTAAGAAAAGGTTCCCTACCAATAAGAACCGAAATTGGCAGGGAAGTTATAGTTCTGAAAAAGTAAGGGAGGAACCGAAGGCAGAAGAACCAAAGAAAGAGCCGAAAGTTGAAGGGGATTCTGGTGTGAACTGCTACTACTGTGGAGGAAAGAACCACTATGCCAAATACTGTGTCCTAAAGAAAATGGCAGAAAAGGATGAAGAGAAAGATGAAGAAGTTGTGTTGATGAAAAAGCTGGAAGAGATCAAGAGAAAGAAAACTACTGCTAACCCTTCTATGAATGCTTTAATTGTGTAGGGTTCGGTAGCGGATGATGAGTTCGGTGGCGTGGAGGTCTGGTCAACCGACTTTGAGGATGATGAAGTCAGGAAGCCATCTCATGGAAAGGCTTATGTTGCGAAAGGGGAAGGAAGCGGTGGAAAGTGTTTGATGGTGACGGATGTATCTCAAATGAG